TGACAATTCAAACTACAACAGGTAACAATGACTTATTCACAAAAACTTATGGAACCCATCAGATAAGTTTATCATGAAAGTGCATTCGGCAATGGCAGAATTCGTATCACATTTTACAGTGATTTTCTTATGTTGGTGACAATTGTGGTGCAAAGGCAGCATGTGTGCACCTCGACTAACTTTATGGGTACCTGCTACCAACACAGATCCAGGTAAATCTATCACCAAGGCTTGGACATATGGGATTTGAACCTAAAACCTTATGGTTTTGAACCCACTTCATTGACCACTAGGCCACACCCTTGGGTGCATTCTTACAATATTTTTTTAGATGCTGCAGAAAGTAAACAAAGCTTTATTTGAACATTCTTCAGTGAACTCCATACCCGTAACCTGGTAAATCCACAAGATGCCAGCTATCGTTTATCCGGAAATGGTTGATGCATTGTGTCTTTCCTGCAATTGCATAAAAGAAAAGGTTTACTTTGATGGTTCCTTATATCAAATCTGTAAAGACCATCTACAAAGGTAAAATATATTGGAAGCTTCATCGATAGTGCTGATATGTACGTTGATCTAGCTGCTTAGAATTTAGTTTCCTGTCAAGTTCCTCGGAAAAGTTGGCTTGGCTATGTAAGTGCCAGCACTTACAAGAATCGAATTTATCAACAAAATTGTCATTATCACACCATATTTATCATACCTTATGGAGAAAAGCTTACAACCTGTACAATTTTTTTTGAACAAGTAAAACTTATACAATTTCACTGGAGTGAATAAAACTCAGCTCAGCTCTCACAATGTATCAAGTTTTGGTTGCGGTCATACCAGGAGACTCCAGTATATCAAGTTTTGATTATGATCATTCCAGGAGACTCAATAAGAGTTGCTCAGACAGCTGATGGTAATCAAAAGAGGCTGAAGCATTTAGAAGGAAATAGGATGAAAGAATGAGCATAAAACTGCTGCAATGAGTTTTTCTTCCCATACAAAGTAGAGAAGGTATGGTTGTATAACTTTAGTAATTAAAGAGAGTGACATTTGCAGGTTGAGATATTAGCTGGTTATGTTTTGGTTTCTTGTTCATATGCTGCTTTATATAGTCTTTGAAAGGTCTTTGACTAGCTTGTTTCATACTCTCCACGATACTATTCTTATACGAGTGTAAAGCAGATATTGAAAGAATAACTTCAGAACACGCAGTATTGTTTTCCCTTTACCCACTTACTCCTATCCTTCTAAATCATTCTCTGTCCTTACAAACTAGGTCCTCGCTATAAACTGCATTTAAATTCCTCTATCTCTTCCACATCTGCAACTAAGCCAACTATTCCAGCTTCTTCTTTTTTCTGTACAGTCTATAGTCTACTACAGGAAAAAATTTCAGCAATTGTTACTAAAAGATCCCTGTGCATCCCTCTCCCTCCATTTCATCACCTTTGTCAATTTGTTAATCTAAAGCCCCCTATAACTCTATCCGGTCCTACGTACCAGAACTATTTTATGATGGAGCTATAGGTCCTCCATCAGTGAGATTAGCAAGGCAAGAGAGAAATGTAAAAATAACCTACCTAATGGACTGTGCTATCCAAAATAACATAACTTTCTTCCTTTTTATCTTTAAATAAAGTAACAATACTTGGTATTCATTAGGTTGAGGGTCTACATTGCCAAGGAAGCAATGTGGGAAATGACCACTATTAAGTACTGGTTAAGGGTGAGGTTTACTACATCAAAAAACAAAAAACCACTTGCTCCTTATTAGACTGTCTGAAATTTCAAAGGGGAAATCAACCCCTAAAACAAAGCTCACTTTCAGATGACTTAACTTATTGGGACTTGTTGATAACTACAATTGATTTGTTCATTCTTCTGTTATTGAATCCTTTCTGCTATCTTAATTACAGTCTAGCTTCACCAAAAACTTGACTATAAAAGTAATCCACCCAAACTTTACCTTGTCCACAGTCCACACAAACATGTAATGGAAGGACATATATTTCTCTATCAAGTGAAGATCAAAAACCTTCAAAATCACATCTTTTCAACAGTCAAGAATCACACTTTTACAGCTACTCTAAAAAATACTTCAACAAAGAATATATGAAAAACCTGGTTTCTTGGAAGTAAGAGCAAGCTTTTTACGCCTCACAAGCGAGTTGAGCAAAGAAGACTTGCCCACATTAGACCTCCCAACAAGAGCAAACTCAGGCAATCCATCAGAAGGACAGGCCTCAGTATCCACACTACTCTTCACAAACTCAGCTTGCTCCACTTGAGAATTCCCAGCATACTTACTAAGCACAATATTTGACCCTTTCAAGATCCTACTACTCAAAGGCCTTGAACCAGAAGAAACATCAGTATCAGGTGGAAAAAACAGCTTTTCAACTGAAATTTCTACATGGGGTTTCTCTAAAACATCTTCAATTTCCAAATTCTTGGCTTGCAACAACTCTGGTGTTTGAAGAAGTGTGTTGGCGGCTGCTGTGGCAGATGAAAAATGGGAAACTGGGGTTGTTTTGGATTTGGATAGAAGTGCTGAGGTGATGATAATCCTGGGTGTCGAGTAGAAAATGAAGAAATGGGAATGGAGCTTTGGAAGATGAGTGATAAACATCTTGTTTTTTGGGTCTTTTACTGTGGAATCACTGCCACCATTGTTGAGCTTTTGCTGTGGTTTTTGTAAAAGATATTTCAATGTTCTTTTTTGTGTTGGTCCTTTGGGATAAGATAATTACACAACTTACAACAAATATTAGTGCATTTACAAATTGCTCCTATTAAGTTTAACATATGCTAAAATTGAACTTTAAATTTTGGTACAATACTTAATTTTTTCCGTTAAACTTATTTAATTATACAAACGAGCACTTAAACTTTATTGTATAGTATGACTTTCTTATATTTGATTAAAGTAGAATAAGCACCCACTTTTTATTTGACTTAGTATCTATATTATCTTTCACAAAATCTTAATAGTATGTAAGATCGAAAAGTATTATTCTAACTTTATTAATTTATATATTATTTTTATTTTTTATTAATAGTTTTTAATATTTTTTTGTTTATTCTATTTATTTGTTTCTTTGTTAATAAAAGATTATTAATTAGTGAAAGCTTGCACTAAGAAATCAAGTTAATTTGAAAAGAGAATGCAATGTTGACAACTAATGAATTGAATATGATCCAATGAAAGAAAGTTGGCAAGCGTGGATATATCAAATTGAGAAAAAAATAGAAAATAATTGTTCGAAAAGTTAATAATTTATCTGTTTTACATTTTTAAGGATGATAATTACTCGTTGATTTGAAATTATAATAAAAAAAAGTATTATAAATTAATTTAAAGAAATTATTTTAATGAGTGATTTAATTTTATTAAAGAGACAATCATCATAATTTCACAAAAATTAAGCACAAAAATGCAAATAACCACATCTCTACGTCGAAAATTAATAACTCTCTCCTCTCCACATTTTTTCGAATTACAAAATGTCCATTACTCTCCTCATAAGAAAAAAAGTTAATTTCCGTTGCTTAATGTTTTATCGACAACATCTTTCTTTATTCTTTTCTTGTGAAAAGAACTTAAATATAGAGACATATATCCTGCAAGATCAAGATAGAACCAGATCGAAACAAGAGACCCTGCTAAAGAATCTTACTTATTATACATAATAGAGAAAATGGCCTAAATCCCCCCCCCCTCCCCTCAATTTATACTCGAAATTTCAAATACACACTCCAATTTTACAGGTGCCTCATTACGCACCTAAACAATATTTTTATATATTTTCTACCCACCTAAGTGCTGACCTGTTATGGGAGGTGTTGTCACTGCCTCTAGGCGCGTTAGAAGCATAATTTGACGAAAAATTCCTCCTTCTCCAACCGTCATCTTCCTCACTTTTAAATAATCATTACTTCTTCTTCCCCCACCATTAATCCTTGTTTCTTTTGTGAAAAATTCACAATTTCTCTCAAAATTAAGTAAAGTTCAGTTGTTAATATCCATTTTTACTTCAAATCTTGAATTTAGGGTTTGTAATCTGTTCTAATTTCTTATTTAGGTGTCTAATTAAAATTTTAAAGTTTCTCGAAATTCATTAAAAATGACAAATGAAAACTTGAATAGGCTTTGTATGGATGAATCATTCCCAATGCTCAACGCTTTAGTGAGATGCAAACACGAAATTTTGCTAAATTTGTAAACTTTCTTGGTCGAAATTAAATTCGGAAAGATGTGTTTTTTCTCTTGTATTCTTGCTACATTTCTTTTGACAATGCTAATGTACTTATTTGGATCATTTTCAGTCTAAAAATTAGAGAAAGAGATGAACATGAGAAAAGATGTTTTTTGGATTTTTTTCTTTGTTCCTTTCTGCTTTCAGTTTAGGAGGAAAATGAAAAAAAAAAAACTAGAAAAGGGAGAAAATCAAGAAATGAGAGTTTCAAGGTGGGGTCCCAGTGCGCGTAATCAAGCAAGACAACTTATTTGGTTTATGTGTTGAGGTCATTACTTAAGCGGGTAGAAAATATATAAAAATATAATTTAGGTGGACAATGAAACACCCGTAAAGTTGGAGTGTGTAGTTAAAATTTCGGGTATAGATTGAAAGGATTTTAGACCATTTTTTCTACATAATATTATATTACTAGCTCAAATAACAAAATATATATAGTATAATAAGGGTTCAATTTCCTTTAACTACCACAAATTTGATATATTTTATTTTTGTATAAATAAAAACTACTAATAAAATCTCTTACTCCTGGTGCTAGGCACAAATTAAGTGGCTTAGAAACAGTGCAAGATTTTTTTTTCCATGTGGAAATTGAGTTTATGGTGTTCAGCATTATTACAAATATACGAGGCAAATGTATCATATTCACCAATTTCAAGGACTATGTAAGTAAATATTGATACTTCCACATACATGTCACAGTAGCCAGAGAAAGGCTTAGAAGAGCAAAAACTCTCAACAATACAGCCTTTTGATCCTTTGGACTGTGGGATTACAGAAACCAAAACTGAGATCCATTTCTTGTAGAGACAAAGAATCAAGATCCAGTGGGTGTGCATCAATGGCTCCTCCAGCTCAAACTCATCGATCACCTTCACCTTCTCAACCTTCCGGGTAACAATTCTTCCTTCCTTGCTTTCGTTGGAGCTATTTTTTTTACTCTTTCGTATACCCTTTAGGATGGAGAATTCAAAAAACCCACACCCATTTTGACCTTTTTCCTGTTTTTCATTGTCTTATTCCTGACCCTTTTGGAAAAGGGGATGAAATTAATTGTCTTTAGTTGAATTCTTGAAATACCCAAGTGGGAAATACCACTGAACTACTTAAGAAACGATCAAAATTGGAATTTATAGCTTCGATCATGATATGAGTATTTCCTACATTGACCTAAAGAGATTTCACCAATTCAAAAATCACTAGTTTTTGCGTAATTATTCTGTATTAATAATCTGATGTTCGTTTGCTATTTTTATTAATTGCATAAGGCAATTTTCTGGTTGAAAATGAGCTTTGCTTGCTGTAAATAAAGATTAGGGATTTTGGGATGGCAAAGATTGGAATTTTACTTGCAGTATAAACCGTAGTGTGTGAAATTATGCTGATGTTAATTTTGATTGGGCAGAAAAGGGGAAGTTTCGGATTTGAAGATGCAGCTTAGGCAGTTGGCGGGTAGTCGAGCTCCGGGTACTGATGATGCAAAGAGGGAGTTGTTTAAGAAGGTGATCTCGTGTATGACAATTGGGATCGATGTTTCTTCAGTTTTCAGTGAAATGGTTATGTGTTCAGCAACCTCAGACATTGTGCTAAAGAAGATGTGCTACCTTTATGTTGGTAACTATGCTAAACACAACCCAGATCTCGCGCTTTTGACCATTAATTTTCTTCAGAGGGATTGCAAAGATGAAGATCCCATGATTCGTGGTTTGGCTCTACGGAGCTTGTGTTCTTTGCGGGTGACAAATTTGGTCGAGTACTTGGTTGACCCCTTGGGTGCAGGGTTGAAGGATTCAAATAGTTATGTTAGGACAGTTGCAGCCATGGGTGTTTTGAAGTTGTACCATATCTCAGAATCAACTTGCATGGATGCGGATTTTCCTGCTACGCTTAAGCACTTGATGCTGAATGATAGGGAAGCTCAGGTCTGGCATTGTAATCTACATGACATCTTTCTTCTTTTCATCTATTTCTTGTGCTTGAGTTCTCAAAGCAATTATCACCTACTATTGGTTGCTATATGACTTTCAATGACAACAAAGTAGTTAGACACACTTTTTGATGTACCCATAGATTTCCCTCTTTTGTGGTTTCAGTTTTTCCTTTTCTCTCTATGCCATTGGGTAGAATTTCAGCATAGATGGTGAGGCTTCCATGCATGTCATAACAGATAATCATTTCACTACTTGGAGCAGACGTTGGCATAATTTTACAACTTTTTCTGATAAATTTGAGAGAAATAGATCAATTTTCCAGAAGCTTGATTGGTTCCTAGTGTGAAAAGCAGTAAAGAACTTAGACTATGGTTTGAAGCTAGTTTACTTTTGAGAGAACAGAAATTTCAGGTTGATGGAAGTTTCTCTGTGTGGTTCTTTTTGTTCAGTTAATAATAGATGACATTGAAGTTCTTGTTTTTACCATCCCAGAGTACGTGCTACTTTCAAGTAATAGTCTTCAGATGTCACTTAAGTTTGTACTGTGTATATCGAATGGCTACTCTAAGAAAAATTGACATATCTTTAGTCTTCATCTTTTGCTTCAGACAATTATTAAGTATTGATCCAGTTCCCAATATGTTTAAGATTCTTCAATCATGGGTTGTTTCCATGTATATGCATCAACATGGAATGCCTTTCAACGTATCTCAAAGCTCTTTATTTATCACCAGAAAGCATTTAGCAACTCTAATTTCACTTGCAAAAGAAGCAGTACTATCATGATCTTTAGCCTTATTATTTACTCATATCCATCCTTCTTCTTTCTTCAGGTTGTAGCCAACTGTTTGTGCGCTCTACAGGAAATCTGGGGTTTGGAAGCAACCAAATCTGAGGAAGCATCAACAGAAAGAGAATCCCTGCTAAGCAAGCCACTTATTTATTACCTTTTGAATAGGTAGATTGCTGTCATAACTACTTGATTGAATAAAATCTCCAATCCGCTCTCTTACTTTTTGTGATCATGTCTGTGTACTGTATGGAGTCAATCAACTCTGAGTACTAAATGAAACCAGTTTGTGGTATAATTTTCTGCATTCGTTTCTGAATTAAGTTGATATGTACTTTATGTCTTACTTGGTGCAATACTGTTTTTTTTTCTTCCTTACATACCACATTGGTTTTAAACATTAGGAAGGTCTTGTATTTGTGTGACTTTGAGGATTTCAAGTAGCTTCACTTGCTTGAATACTATAGAACAGAAGTGTTGCTAGTAGATCTGCATTCATAAAGGCTAACATGCTTTTAGTTTAGTGCCACGTTGCAGAGAATTTTAGTAGTTTCTTCTGCTCAGGTTAGAATGGCCAGTAACATGAAAAATCATTTGTCATCTTCAGGGACTCAATGATAATTTTTTAATTTTTATCCAAAAAACATCAAATCTTGTTGATTGTGAAAAAGTACAGGTTACATGCACTTGTTTATGCATCGTCTTTCCTGGAGGGAATACGATATAGTATAATTTGCTGTCATAGGAGAAGGATGTTAGAACTGAAGGTTTTAGTGAATTTCTTTACATTTGATTATCTTCAATCTCTTGGAGTTGATGCGAACTTAGAGAAAAAGTAGGGTACAATTAAAAAAAGATCCATACATGCAACACTTAGTAATATGTTTTAGCCACCTCAGTATGTTTAATTTAGGCTTAGTTGCGCGGACTCTACACTTTGATGCCGCACCCGTGTCAGATTCACCAAAATACACTACTTTTGGCGAAACCGTCATGCACCCATTGACATTTTTGAAGAGTCCGAGCAACATAGACTTCAGGGAATATACTTTCTTGTAGTCTTTCATTCCTATTAGATATTTATAGGTCCGCAGAAGCTATTGGGAACTTCCAGTGCTTTTTAATTTATTTTTATTCTGTATTATATTGGCCGGAGATGAGTTTAAGTGAGTGACATGGTTAATGAAGATTCATATAGCCGATGACCACAATTTACTTGGGATTGAGGTGTAGTAATTGTTGTAGAAAGGTAACTCGTTATAGAAGTACCATGCTTGCAGTTTGTATTCAGATGGAGCACGATACTACCAATGTTCAAAAACAAAATTATGCATCTAGCTTTGAGTTGAGAACTTGGGATATATCTAGCTTAAATATGCTAGTTCATGAGCTGACCCAAGACCATATAAGAAGAAATCAATCTATTTTGTTAACCAATGGGACATACTAATACCTCCTCGCATGTCCAGGCTTGAACAATAGTGTGAATAGTATAATATAAGAATCCAACGGTAGGGAAAGACGATAACATGGTTAGGTTTGAAAGTACTTTTTGCTTAACTTAATCCCAAGGACAAGCTCATGATGTGAGAATTTCCTAAAGACATACAAGGAGACAACAACTCATTTCCTCGATCTATGTAGGACACTTAAGTAGCCTCCCTTCCTACCTACATGTCAAGCTTGGACATGTGGAGAAACCTAGAATTAGGATGTGTCTAGCTCTGACACCATATAAGAAAAATGGATCGTAGGTCTAACTCAACCTCATTAGCTTGCTTATATAGTAAGTGTTGCCCAACACTAAACAGTGAGAGATACTTGACAGGTATGCAGATGGATTGTTTTCTCATTTCTGGAGTTAAACCAATATTCAAAAGTGTATGAATAGAAGTGCAAACTAATACTCCTTCCATCCCAATTATGTGATAATGTTTGACTGGGCAAAAGAGTTTAAGGGAAAAAAAGAAGACTTCTGAAATTTGTAGTCTAAAATAAGCCATAGAAAATTCTGTGGCTATAAATTATTTCATCAAGGGTAATGGAAGTTTGAAGTGAAACTGTGACTAGATGTGGAAAAATGTCATTCTTTTCGGGACTAATTACAAAGGAAAGAGTGTGACATAAATTGGGATGGAGGAAGTAATAAACCATTGGTGTGTTTGATAAATAAGTGGTGAGGAACACTTTTCTGTTAAAATGACTGAAATACTTTGAAAGCTATTTACAATAAATAAATAAAAATAAGTAAAAGGTATCTTTTTATGGAAAAGGACGAGTGAAGGGAAAGGAATGGAGAGTCAAGAGTGAGTTATGATTTTTTGTTCTGGAAGGCTGTTTCTGGGATTACAAAAATAATTGTCAAGAATAAAATGATAATTTTTTTTTTGAGAATGATAACTTGAAAATGATAAAAAAATTGGTCAGACCAAAGTGCTTTTACGCAGAAATACCATAAGTTGGGGGTGACCAACTTGTGATTTTTGACTAATTTTACTTATGAGCACTCTCTCTGTGTTTACCAAACTTGTGTATAAGGCAAAAATTCTTGTAAGCTGGTTTGTTAAACCAACTTTAAGATTGCCCAAACACCTTCTATGTTTTTATGTTGTTGACATACAATTACTAATAGTTTGAAAGTCTAGGACAATTGGATACCAATGTTGATTTCAGGCTTTCAACTATGATGCTAAGGTTTGTCTCGGGGTAAGGGGTGGTGAGGATGGTTTCTGGAGAAATTTTTTCAGGATTGCGGAACTCTTAGTAAGCTTTTTCTGCTTTTGACCAATGATGTATCAAAAAGTTGCCTGCGGTTATAATTTGAAGTAGACAATTTAACAGTAATACTCTGGAGGGAATGTAATGTTTCAATGCCCTTTACAGTCCCGATCCTTCCACTGAAAGATAGACTGCAATTAGTTTTATCTTCTTTTTATTATTGCTTATCTTCTTTTTATTATTGCACTATGTATTCTGGTCATCAAAAAAATTCTTGGACTATGTATTCTATCAAGAAAACAAAGTTTTATTTTCTAAAAGCCAAGTATACTTGGGGAAGAGGCAGGTTGTAAACTTGCTCAAACTGCTCGGTGAAGATATCTCTTTGAATAGTTAAATTTCCCATTCTCCTTCTATATTTTTTCATTTTGTTACCATGTTTAATATTTCTCTTGCCGTTTATGATCTTGCAGTAATGTAAGACGGTTTTGCATGGGAGGTTCTTTCTTTAATCTGCTAAAACAGTTATACTAGACGGATGATAAAATTTCTGTGTCAATGTTGACTTTACTATCTTTTTTTTGTCAAATCCCATGAAAAAATTAGTAGACCTCTCTAGCTCCCCTTTCTCTGCAATTTGGTGTTTGGAATTCCTCGTGAGTGATTGTTTTTTTTTTTTCAAACACGATTGTGCAGGTTCAAGGAATTCAGCGAATGGGCTCAATGCGCTATTCTTGATTTGGTTTCTAAGTATGTGCCTTCTGACAGTAATGAGATATTTGACATGATGAATCTTCTCGAAGATAGGCTTCAACATGCTAATGGTGCTGTTGTCTTGGCAACAATCAAGTTATTTCTGCAACTGACACTCTCCATGGCTGACATTCATCAACAGGTTCCCATTTTAGTGTTCATCTGAAATGTTTCCTTAGTAGATGATATTGTCTATGGTTGCTCGAGCATCTCTTTTTATTAATAATCCAGCTAAAGTACCCGCAAGGGTGCTCAAGTTGGTTGAGTGGGTGATCTTTAAAATGGGGGTCTTAGGTTCAAAACTCCCTGCATGCTTTCTCGGTCGAGCTCGTCGCACAGGGCTTGCCTAGTGCAGTTTACCTTTATTGTGTGGTTTGCGGGCTATTGCACTGGAACAAGGCTTACTCTGTCCGCCCTTGAAGGATAGTGGCTGCGGGTTTGCTTGCCAACACAAAAAAAAAAAATCCAGCGAAATTTTTTACTGTCCAAGAAGTCAGCTAACTTTGCTGTCTTTATTTTCCACTAGCCTTCTGACTATGCTTCCTGATAGCTCTTTTCCTTTTAACTTTTATTTATTTATCTTCTTGGTCCAAATTGCTTTGTAGGAGGGGGCATGTGAAATTCAGTATGTTTATGATAATTGTTATTTAAGTTGTAGTCAGTTGAGATCCCATAGGGTTATACAGGGAAAACAGACAGCTTGAACTAATGTTCCTGCAGCTTGAATTGTCAAATGACCCAATTTTAAGATCTTAATCCTCTGTACATTACACAAAAAATGTAAATATCCAATAAGTTTGTTATTTCTGACGGGTTATTTCCTCCTGGAAGGCAATAATTCAGCAATTCCTTAGCCTTAACTTTATCCATTTCAATACTGTTATATGGATTATCAATTAACATCACCTCAATTCCAAATTAGTTGGAGCTGGTCATATGAATCCTTTGTATTAAATAATTGCATGTATCATTGACTATTTCATGCTACCCATCAACCTACGACAACCCTTTCTCTCTTTTTTTTCTTGAAGTAATTTAAATGTGTCTATTAAATTGCACCAACAAAATGCATGTTATTACATATAAGGGACTAAGAGGTCCTCTCTTTTTTTATTCTACAATTTCTTGGAATTCGTGGAACTTAGCGAAAGTTGAAAGAGAAAAACCCTATATATTTGGCATCATTTAGTAGAAGATATGATTTAGTCATCTTAGTTTGTTTACTTGCTATTCTATGCTTTCTAGAGGAGTCTTTTAGCCCTAGTACAATTTTGTATGCTAGTAAAATATATAGAGAACTTCTAGTACTTTTTGTTTTTGATTTTATTTTGTCGAATACTGGCCAGAGATGAATATATTATTTTTTGATAACCGGCTTGAGATGAATATTAATTACAGAAACATGGTTATTCATTTACCAGACCCTAACTTCTTCGGGACTGAAATATAATTGTTGACTCAGAAGTCCCTTCTACTCTACAGGTAATCTGTCAAGTCCTCTATGCTGGTAAAATATATAGAGAACTTCTAGTACTTTTTGTTTTTGATTTTATTTTGTCGAATACGGGCTGGAGATGAATATATTATTTTTTGATAACCGGCTTGAGATGAATATAAATTACAGAAACATGGTCATTCATTTACCAGACCCTAACTTCTTTGGGACTGAAATATAATTGTTGACTCAGGAGTCCCTTCTACACTACAGGAAATCTGTCAAGTCCTCTAAAGAATTAGTATCATCTACAAAAATCATGTTATCCAAGAAATCAACATCTACAGACATTTATATTTGATGTTAAAAATAGTTCTTCAAAACCCATTGCAATTTCTCTCCTTTCAAACTATCCAAAAGATGGAGGATTTTACTGTCTTCCATTCAATTAGGGGAAGTTCTATAATGTATTGTTCTTGTCAACTTGTTACTGCAACTTTTCATGACTTATCACCTTCAAATTTGTTGAAGAAAACACTCTGGAACTCTAGTACATATTTGTTGTGCAACAATTGTGGAGCTTACCCTCGATTTCATTTTACAATCATCTACAATTTCGTATGGTTAATTCTCTTTCTGATAACCATTGGTTAAAGGTCTGAAGCTTTGTGACTTCCCACATTCTGTTTTTTCTTCCATCTCCCATGAGCTGAACCAGCTGGTGGAATCCCCCCCCCCCACCCCCCCACCCCCCCAATCATATCTTTATCTGTTCCAGAAGGTGCCTCCACTGTAACCAGTTGCTGATTTGGTGAACCAGAACCCTTCCACACCCACACTCCCACATACCTTTTTTTTTCTTAAAATAATTTTTTTGCAGGGGTGTACTTGCTCATATCCCAATCTCATAACCACTTATAGATTAGGCCTTTGGTTTGGAGTTACAGGTTTTTAACCCCCCAAGTACTCCACCTTTTTCGAGTTCTTTCTACGGGCCACTTAACCAGATGGATATTTCTTCTTTCAGAGTTGCTTCCCAGTTGGAAGTCTCTTCTTATTTTCTAGTTGCTTAACAATGTTTGAAGGGATCATTAAGTGCACTGGTAAATATGGAATTTCATCCAATACTAATAATGGTTGTATGCTTTTTCCATGTGGCCAATCTCCTCTCACATTTGTTCATCTCACCGCGTCATCTTGTAGCTTGTCGTGCTCCCTAAGTGTGTCAGTTTAAGATATATATTGTAGGAAACTTTTCAACTTCACACCCAAATGGTCTGCGATGCTTTATTCTATTTTTGGTGTAATTAGGAGTATATGGAAGATCTAGAATCATTTATTGATGTCTTAGGTTCTATATAAGCTTTTGTTGTAGGATTGAAGATCTTGTTGATACTCCGTAGTAACTATTGAGACCTGTAACTGCTTGTGTCAGGTCTAATTTTTGGATACATATAAAAGTGTTACCTTTTCAAAAAAACAAATATTCTGAATATCAGTCCAAAAAAAAATCTTGGATTTTATCTTGGCATCATCCATTATATTCAGAATCAATTCAAAACCACCCACCACAATTGTGTTGATATCTAGTACTGCAACATGAGGTGATCCACATCTTCTCTCATTCACATATAGAACTGGCTTACATATATGATAATCCTCTTCTTCCTCAAATTTTTGGTTGTCAGTATTGGTCCCCTATCTGTCAATCACGCAAAGTCTTGGAACAAACCTTTGGCATAGTTTATAGACAAATGGGGTTCCCATGCTCTTTTGTTTTTAAATGTCTCACCAGATTTTGTCTCTGTTAGCTTATAGAGAAACAAGGAGGAGACAGTGAGAAAATGCCTAAAAGCTAATGCTTGAAATCTGATTCATTCTATAAGCACACATTAGAATTTTCATGTTGAGAAAAACACATTACAATCTTCATAACTTTATTTACCCTATGGAGGACATAAAAAACTATGACAACTCACACTTAGCTATGTAACCGCCTAAACTATGAAATTAATGGCCTCAAATGGGTCATGCCTCAGAATATCAGGGATGTTGTGATAAGCTGGAGTTGCTGGAAGTTGATAGCACCATCAAGAGAATCTGGAAGATGATACCTGCAGCCATTTTTTGGAGTATCTGGAACGAAAGGAATAGAAAATGCTCTGATGGAATATCAACTACCTACCAATCTTTAAATCTAACTGTCTCGTGTTTTTGTATAGTTGGGTTTATTTATCCCCTCTAGATTGCCCTGATTCATTTCTGAACTATGTCCGCTCCCTGATTCTTAATTAATAATGTAAATGAGACCTTTTCCTACTAAGCTTTTTTAACTATTATGCATCTACTTGATGCCTGCAATAGAACTAATTACTTCATAAAAAAAATGGTCCGACAACCTTTGTTACCTAACAACAGTTGCATAAAATGCAAAATGCTGTTATTCACTGTAACTTAGTAGGTATAGGATCCTATGTAATTACAACACTTCTGGAGGGGAACTACACTTTTGAGGTAGTATACCTGTGGATAAATATAGACTAATTGTTACATTTCTCAAAAAAAAAAAAATTAGTCTGCGGAAAATTTTCTTCTTTGAGGCATCTTAATTCTTAACTATGGCTGAGTTTTAATTTTTGCTTATTCATTCTTCTGTTTAGGTATATGAGCGTATAAAAGCACCTCTACTTACGCTAGTTAGCTCAGGAGGTCCAGAGCAATCCTATGCTGTGCTAAGCCATCTACATTTGCTGGTGATGCGCGCACCCTATATTTTTTCAGCTGACTACAAGCACTTCTACTGCCAATACAATGAACCATTTTATGTCAAAAAGCTTAAGCTTGAGATGCTGACTGCCGTGGCAAATGAGAGCAATACATATGAAATTGGTGAGTATCAATATCAGTCAACTATATGGAAGTTTTAAACCTCAAGGTTTTTGTGTATACCTTATTTCCTGGTATCAGATCCTGATCAAAGAGATTATTGGTGTTGCACCAGCCACAAATCTGAATTTCTTTTAGGTGGGATAAGGGTAAGAAAAGAGTGTATATGCACAATGATCAGTAAAACTAGTAGTAAAGCTGTGTAAATTTAGGGGGGGGGGAGACTGAATTTGTACAATAATCAGTAGAACTAAGTAGTAAATCAGTAGAACCAGCAGTAATTTTATACTGATAAAAAATGTGATTAGTAAATTTAAATGAAGTACTATTCCAATCAAACTCTGCAATGAAACTTTCTTGCTAAAAACTATATAGGCCTGCTTATAAGAAAATACTATATATGCATGCACTCATTCTTTATCTAACAAATTTATCTGGTGGAAAGAAATTCCTGGAAAATGTGCTTCTTCATGTCCTGGAAAGACCCTGCCTATATTGCTCGTCCATATATGTGAATTTTTTGTTCTTTCACTTTTATTCTCTACATATATGATTGGATATGGATTTTGAGATGTTGACTTGTATACATTAGTGATGGTGAAAGATAATTGTTAGAATAATGGTTGAGACAAGCTGAATAAGAATTGAGAACAATGGTTGTATGACAACCAATACCCCCGATTAGCAATATTCCAATAAGCACCAATTCGATAGAACAAGACATAAGAATGAGCTAACATGCAACAATGGCTATATCAAAACCAAAACCTCCTATTAAGAACACCAAACAGGCACCTATACTATAGACAGACTCAAGAGGGTGGTCCTCAAGCAAGCAATCTCATCAAACATTGTCAAGAGATAAAGGTCTTAGCCTCAAACTCCATCAAGAGTATGCTCAATTCATGAGAGTTCTATGCTAGCTATTACATAAAAGGTGGCATCTTCTTCTATCACCCAAGCTATCTTCCAAATCTTGAATGCCATCATGTGTCACCTTCAGTGACCTTCAAGTGCTCCGTCTTCATGATTGAAGAGAGTATAGCTTGAAGATGTATTTGAGCTTGCTTGGGGTGTGAGAAACATGTTCTTGAGCTTCATGCCTTCATTTCAAGCACCCCCGAACCCCCAAGTTTCCAAAGTAGCGACTAGATGAAAAGCATACAAACTCCTTAACTCGGCTTTGTGTGCAATGTTGTGATGGAACCTGGCTTGCATCAAAAAAGGGGTGGGAAGAGTTCAATGAAAATGTATATTTCAGGGTAGGACAGTGGGTAATGGGAGTAGGGTGAGTTTTTGGAACATAGATGGTGCGGAAACAGCATCTTGAGAATCACATTTTCTAACATGTATTGAATTTCATGTCAAAAAAGGATGTCGATTCTACCGTTATTGAGTATAAAAGAGGGGAGAGTGCATTGGGATTTGAGTTTTAGGAGAAGTTTGCAAGACTGGGAGTTTGAAGAATTCCGGAACTTGATTTGCCTTTCCCCCTTACATTAGTCACTGTGTTGTAGAATATGCCTAGTTGATGAATGCACAAAAGAGCTGACACCAAAATCAATAACATAGGATAAGTTTAAGAATCAGACTGGATGTGCACCATGCTTAAGATAGAGAATAAGACTGAACGAAGGAGATGACTAAATCGATAAAGTCCTTTTTGTGTTGTGATGTTTAGGTCATCTGAGTACTATCAAGGATTTAATATCCAAATTTTATAAAACTATAAGTTATTGCCTCCATGACCAACTAGTTTGCATTTTTGACTAGCCAGTCTGATGTTGATTTCTTTGTGGATTGGCTTTAGTGACGGAGCTATGTGAATATGCTGCAAATGTTGATATTCCCATGGCGAGAGAATCGATCAGGGCTGTCGGCAAAATAGCATTACAACAATATGATGTTAATGCAATTGTAGATAGGCTTCTCCAGTTTTTGGAAATGGAAAAGGACCATGTGACTGCGGAAACTCTGGTATGTTGTCGCTCATTTCCCTTACTTTTGTGTTTTTTCTTCGTTTTTTTTTGGTGGATGGGGTGGGTAGGTGGGGGTTGCATCACAATAGCCTCTAATGATATTGCTTTAGGGGAATAGTGCATTAAACATGTGAAATTACGTGAGACCTATGTCTTGCTATTCTTGTTTGGTCTGACCATTTAAGCTTTTCTCATTTAGGTACTTGTGAAAGATCTCCTAAGGAAATATCCTCAATGGAGCCATGATTGTATAGCAGTTGTAGGGAATATTAGTAGCAAAAATGTCCAGGAACCCAAAGCCAAGGCAGCTCTTATCTGGATGTTGGGGGAATATGCTCAAGACATGCAAGATGCTCCGTACATATTGGAGAGTCTTATTGAGAATTGGGAAGAGGAGCACTCCGCAGAGGTAATCAAGCTGCATATTTCTTTTTTATGCGTTTGGCTTTTCTTCTATGCAAGTATATTTGTACTCCTTCGTGCCATGTAGTTGATCTTTCTAACCACTGTGTATTGTCAAGATTGTCCACAATCTGATCAGTCTCATTTGGAAGGCCCTAAGTCTTGAAAATGATTTGTTGTTTGGAGTAAGCATTCCTTCTCCCTAACTTTTGTCAGTAACCTTGTGGTTTGTTGATGCAAGTCAGTGAATGACTTGCTTAGTACAAAGGTGATGACGACAAAATTGCAAATGGTGGACGGACCCATGTTTGGTTGCCTTTTTCCTGATTGCTTCAATATAGGATCTCTTGATTCTATAGTTTGAACTTTAAAGCCATCCACATCATTCATATCATCCATGGTCATTAGTTTCCTTTTTGAAGTGATACAAGAAAAGCTTCAATCTAGGATCTCTTGATTTTGTAGTTTGAATTTTGAAGCCATCCACATCATTCATATCATCCATGGTCATTAGTTTCCTTTTTGAAGTGATACAAGAAAAGCTTTTGTGTGGCAATGAAAATGAATGAAATTAAATTGTGAGTTTCTTGTTTGGGATCTTCTAACAGAATGAAGGTTCGGGTGTGTTAAAAGGTATTTGTAAATGTAGTTTTCATAGAGGAAAAAGTGTTATACATATAATAAAATAAGATACTGTTGACTCAGGTCAGACCATTTACATGTTTTTGTAACAAATTCAGTTATTGTGAAGTCCTCTATTTTGTACTGCATCCAAAAGTTTAAAGTGTTGAATATTGTTATAAAGTGTAAAGATATAACAGAATGATTCGTGCCTATCTTTTCCCTTCACAGAACCACTCCGTTGTCTCTAATGCTTGCACAAGATAATAATCTTGTTTTCTTGATTTTGGTACACATGCTGTTTTCTTTTTCTTGGTGGGGCTTTCCAGGTGAGGTCTTGTTCAGAATTGGGTTTATCTGAAAAGGAAATGGAGAACCTGTTCTTCAAGTGGGGCTTCTAACAACTTCTTTTATTTAAATTTTGCAATTATGATCCTGAAATTTAAAAGCAAAGCAAAGCCTCTTGTACAATTTTGATCTTTTAGACGCACTGCCTTACTTGTGTGTGACCGGCTGCAGATATTACCTGTCTTTTAACCTCTGTTATTCTATGTGTGCTGTCGAGTCTCCTACTTGTGTTACTGAACTGCTCATATTCGTAGTATTTGGCATGTTAGCATAAACGGCATAATTATAGTTCTTCTAACCTTTTCATTTATGAGGTATAAAAGGTCTGTGGGGTTTTAATTGACTTGGCTTCAATGTGCTGTGCAGGTTCGTTTACATCTTCTTACAGCAGTAGTTAAGTGCTTTTTTAGAAGACCACCGGAGACTCAGAAAGCCTTGGGAGCTGCGTTGGCTGCTGGTGTTAATGATTTTCATCAGGTATCCCATCTGTTTGTTTTATTTTTCTTGAAAATGACTGATATAAGAGAAATTATTGTGTAGGCCCAAATAGAACAGAATGGTTGCAACATATTCTTTCATCTGACCCCAACTTGATTGAGATTGAGGCATAGTTGATTAACAGATACTAGTATGAAGTGTTTGTGTGCCTCTAAATGATGTCAAGAATTGTTGCAGGATGTCCATGACAGGGCATTATTATACTATAGACTTCTGCAGTACAATGTCTCCATAGCAGAGCGTGTGGTGAATCCTCCAAAGCAAGCTGTTTCTGTCTTTGCTGATACACAAAGTAATGAAATTAAAGATCGTATCTTCGATGAGTTTAACAGCCTCTCTGTAGTTTATCAAAAGGTATCCCAGATGTTCTTCGTTCTCATCAGTTGTGTAATTTGAGGATTATAATCAGAAGTGTAATTTCAAAGTTACTGCATTTTTATCCTTGCTAAGACCCTAGTAGTCTACTTTACGTATTTCTCAAGTGTAACCATTTTTGCAGCCTTCTTACATGTTCACTGACAAGGAACATAGAGGGCCATTTGCCTTCTCCGAGGAAATTGGAAATTTATCTCTTGGGGAAGAATCGACTGATAATGTAGCCCCAGCACAGAGAATCGAGGCAAATGATAAGGATTTACTTCTGAGTACTTCCGATAAAGAAGAAAGTAAAGGTTCTATCCACAATAGTTCTGCGTATAGTGCTCCTGGATATGATGGTTCTTTGGCTGCACTGTCTCAAACTGATCTTGTTTCCTTAGATTATAAACCTACTCCAAATGTGCCATCAGCTACTTTTGCAATTGATGATCTACTTGGTCTTGGTTTGCCTGCTGCAGCCAGTCCCCCTGCCCCACCTCCTGTTTTGAAGCTCAACACTAAAGCTGCTCTAGAGCCAAACGCATTCCAGCAAAAATGGCGTCAACTTCCAATATCATTATCACAGGTGCACATTTACTTCTACTATGTGATCTGTTGATCATCTCTTTTGTGAAACTAGAGGCAGACCTAGGAAATACCTCCACTGCCTGGTGAGAACATTTTGTAGGATTCTGTTGATCTACTTATAGCTTCAGCTTAATTAGAGTGTACTTTTTCTTGTGGCTTGTGTTCTTTCCATTTCACTCTGGGACATACTGAATAGTTTCTATTAGAGGTATAAGAAGAAACATTTGAATCTTCGCTTATATCAGGTGTTACTGAGGAGGCAGTTATTGCCAGAAAATCTTGCACAGTCTGATACTTTGCCTTATATTTGTCCGCTCTAAATATCCTATTCACAAGAAATAATGTTTGTATCATGTCAGGAATTCTGTTACCTCTTTCAAAAAAAAAAAACCATTTCTCTAATTTGTTGTTACTTGTAAATAAGAACTTCAAAACTTATTGGAACTTGGAAGTACCAAGCAGTAATTGCTGTTCGAATAAGCTTCATTGGATAAATTCTTGCCTCTGATACGATTGCACTGTTGCATGATGTCCAAATTTTTTCTGTGTTCATTTTTATAGGAAAAATGCCATCTATTTACAACAATTCGAAAAAATGTGTTGTATTAATGTGAGTCGGTGATCGTAGCCTTGTAACTTTTGGATACTTGTACACTGTCTGTGTCCTTGATATGAATATGATAAAAACTTTTACTATTATGACCTCCCTTATTGATGTTAAATCGTCTTCCTGATGCTTCTTTTCCCTTTTCCTTTACCAGGAAACTTCCATCAGTCCAGAAGGAGTGGCTACTCTGATATCTCCTCAAACACTTATCCATCATATGCAAGGCCATTCAATCCATTGCATAGCTTCCGGTGGTCAAGCTCCGAATTTCAAGTTCTTCTTCTATGCACAAAAAGCAGAGGAGCCGTCTACCTATCTTGTAGAGTGTGTAGTCAATTCATCGTCATGTAAAGTACAGTTAAAGGTCAAAGCTGATGATCAGAGTACATCTCAGGCCTTCTCAGAGTTGTTCCAGTCAGCCTTGTCCAAATTTGGGTTTTCATAGTCACTCGAACGGCCGTCTTGTTGTAACACTCCTTAGAAGTATTAGTGGATTCACATTCCGTTTTGTAATTTCATTTTGTAGCAAGTTCAATAAGAGTCACAATGTGGTGTACAACATAGAGTGTTTCATGCTCCTACCCTGTAATTCTGCGGCGAAAAATCACTTTTTTGTACCTTGTGAATTGAATAGAAAGCCCCACTGGGGCGTGGTGGTGAACCTTTGTGGCCAATTTTTAAGTGATCTTTTCCAAATTCCATCTGTTATCTGTATTTTTTTCCAAGTCGAGAGAGATTTGAGATTTCAATAGCAAGTGAGTTTCTATAGATCGACCTTCATGTTAAATCTTTTTTAAGTGTAGTGAGTGAGTTTTTATAGATCGACTTTCATGTTAAATGAGATTCCAAAAGCAAGTGAGTTTTTATAGATCGATTTTCGTGTTAAATCTTTTGTAAGTATGATGTTTCTATTTTCAGACATGGAAGGTTGAAGTAGGTTTTGGCACAATCCAATATTTGTCAGGTTTCCTCTGATTAAATTTGAATCATGTACTGTAGGATCCATTCGAGGGCGAAACTCCCAACAAGATTTTCTCCTTAATTAGGGCTCGAACTTGAGACCTCTGATTAAGGATGAAACATTTCCATCGATGCATCACAAATCCATGTTGGTTAGTAGTTCTACAAGTTGTTAATAAACTTGTTCTTCTGCCGGTTTTGAAAATAAATCATATATAAGAATTTGTAGAAAATAATTTCTTTTGATAGCTTGATCTATCTTTATTCTATTTTTATTAGAAAAAAAAAATGAATAAGAAATAAAATTAACTACAAATTTAATTCCTTACCATAACTACATCAATTATATTTTTAAATAATAATAAAAATTTAAAAATATGTGTAAGTAGTAAAATATTAAGAAAATTTCAATTACTAACAATTAATACACAATTATTTATATTCATTTTGTGAGTTGTGAGACATAAAAGGCCATTATTAACATTTTTACATCAGATATTGTTCATACTGATACTCTGCTTTTTATCTCTTCCCAGGTATGTATGTATCACCTTCATATTTTGGGTTTACCGTCTCTTTATTGTGCTGCTCTGCTTTTGGATTTGATATGGTGTTGTGTTTCTTCGTTTGATCTTCACTATGGGTCGAATTTATTTCTTTTTTGTACGTTTTCAGATGTATTTGAGCTTCGTTTTTCTATATCATTGTGTGTTTGAACTGAATTTGAGGCTTTTAGCTTCTTTGGGGGGAGCTACAGGGATTTGTAATTTTACTGGCTTTAGGGTTGAGCCGCCGTTGTACTTTGTTACTATTATTCATATTCCTTCCTGTAATCCGCTGTCTTCTTCTGTTGCCACTTTGACTAATGAGTCAAAAATTGTTGCTTTTGTTGAAAAAGATAGTATCAAAGTTATTATATTTACGAATTTGTATTATGAATACGAATTTTGATTTGAGTTTGTATTTTTCTTTGATACTTATATTATTACACTTTGAGAAATTTGGAATGCTTCCATCAAAATGAACCCTTGATTAAAATTGAATTTGTTCATCTAAACTGATTAAGTTAGATTAATATGCTGGAGAATTCATAATTAATTACTCTAGTAATGTACAGTGTTATTATTGATTATTAGAGAGAGGAATCAACTAACCTGGACTATTGGTTAGTAGAATGTGAAATGCATAAAGAAAAAATATCTTCCTTTACTTCCACTCGCCCGGAGAAAATCCTCTTCATTATGGGATGGGGTGTTAGGGAATGAAATCGGTGGTTGGAAGGGTTTAAAGTAAGTATTCTGATATGGGCAACCTGTTCTGAAAATTTTGCTCTATATGGGGCCTAATCAAATAGTTGAGTAGTTGCAAATGCTCGTGCCAGTGCACACATGAGCTGATCTAGTAGTTAACCTACCTTCGTATCCATTTCTTCAGCCCCCGGCGTGGTTTTGGTGAATTACATGATGAATGCTGCAACATCGTTGTTTAGAAGGTTAAATATCAGAGAGCTGGTAACAAGCACACCTGCTTACAATACCGCTACTGGTATGTATTCCGTTCTTTCCTGAAGCATATACGTTGGTAATAGATGGAATGTTTAGAGACACTTGACTTATATTTCCATTCTGCAAATTTAAGATGTTTCTGGGGATGGATTGAGCTTGATGTTTAGGCGGTGGGCTACCAAAAAAACAGCAGGGTCTACAAAAAATGGCCGTGATTCAAAACCAAAGAATCTAGGAGTCAAGAAATTTGGGGGGGAGGTAAGAAAATCTCCTCTTCTGGAACAAAATGGATGAAGCATTAATTGGTTTAGAGAAAATTTTCTATTCAGCCATTTCAAAAAGAGACTTTTTTGTTCCAATGCTGCATATAGAACTTTCTTGAAATCAATCTTTGCTGAAAGCCTGAAACACAGTTTTTTACTTGCAGAGAGTGATTCCAGGAAATATCATTGTTCGTCAAAGGGGAACCCGGTTTCATCCTGGGAACTATGTTGGAATTGGGAGAGATCACACACTTTATGCTTTGAAAGAAGGCTGTGTTAAATTTGAGCGCCACAAGCTGAGTGGGCGCAAATGGGTGCATGTTGAGCCCAAGGATGGTCATGTGCTTCACCCAGTCTACTCAAGCACTACAGCTTCCGAGTCAAAGACAGCCACTTAAGTTTTTCTGATTTGTCAACTGTTGAGTGATTCATGGAGCACAGATCTAACAAGTGTTAAGCCACTATAAAGGCTGTCTCGTTTTTTTATCTTTTAGGTCACTTGATTTAAAGAAAATATTTAAAAGATTAGTCAATGAATGGATGTTCTGCCGTTATTTTTGACAAAATATTGTGGTGGTGAATCTTTATATGAATGTGCTTACGAGCTTTTGTGCTTTCCAACTTTCTGAAACATTGAGGCTATGTGATATAGTTCGACGCCGCCCATATTACCACTTGTGTTAACTTTGCCAAGTTTCTTAGGACATGTGATGAGTGCGCAGCCAGTGTTTACTAAAATCTGGCAAGAGCTCATCGTTTGGTCGACACAATTTTTGTGAAGCTTAGAAAATATCAAGGTTGGAAGCCTCATATGACTGCCAATTTGATACTGGTAAATTATTCTTATTGCCCAGTCTCTTACTGAATGACTTATATGCCTCACAGATTTGCTAGTTAGTATATATTAATCTGCAGGGATACTGATATCTTGAGCTAATTATCATCAATAGTCAATTTTCTCTCATAAACAATTTTGCTTAAACAGTATATAAAATGAAAATATAGCATTTTCCTTTTTCATTTTGGTCTTGCAGTAAAATCAGGCCTTGATATATTGGATTCTCCTTGTGTAATGTAAGCTGAAAAATGAACTGGTCTTTCTAAAGAAACTTCAATAAATAGGAGATTTCCATCCAACAAAACAAGTCAAAGGAAAATGCAACTCTATCCATCTCAATTTAAGTGATAGAGTTTAGAAGACAATCAAATACATAATTATACTTTAAGATTAGTTCCACATGTCTTCTCATCTTAAATGAGTGGTGGTAAGAGTCCCAATATAGACTAATTAACATACTTCTCAGTTCTCAGTGAACATTCAAACTACATAAAGTTTCAACCCTTTCAATTTTGAGTCATTCATGGAGGTAAGAATACTGACGATCGAACAGTGCACTTACAACTGGACTTTGCATATATCCAAATATGATTTATACAGCTGCACAGTATACAGATACAATGGACAAAAAGGAATTCAAGTTAAAAGATCAGTAAAAGCTTTACAAATCCATGTACCCAGAGAGATCAGCAATTTGAAGTCACTCTTTATATGTACAAGACACATTACTTTGACATCCAGCTGCATTCTGGTTTACAAATTAACTCCCCTTCTCTCTTCAGTACAAGAACACAGCTGTACTTGAGTGTCCAACATGACCAGATGCACAAAGCTGCACTTGGAATTGTCTCTGGCAAATAACAGGAGCTCGCATTCCAAATCTACAACTAATATGCAATGACCTTGTTGCAGCAGACAAAGTATCACACGAAAATTCAGTTTCTCTTAGCACCAAACGACTTCTTTTAAGCGCAGTTACTGCCCCCTTTGGTTCATTAATTAGTTCATTGGGTATCTGCAAACATTTGGGATAACAGTGATGGACAGCATCCTTCTGGTAGACCTTTTCTAAGTTCTTCACTTCTGTTTCATCTTCCATATCGAGTTTGCTAGTTGACCTTTGCTTTTCACCTGAGTTGGACACTCCATTGGCTGCCTCAGCTAATCCAACACCATGCCAGGCTTCTGCAACAAGCAGACGGGTGCTTTTCTCAGGTTGAACATTGAATGTTTCCATGATTTGGATTACCTCTTCTGCTTTACGAGGATTTTTATTTTCTGCATAACCCCATACCAGAGTTTCGAAAGCCTTCAGATTAGGAGATATTCCCGAGTCACACATCTTCTCGAAGATCCTCATGGCATAATCCATTCTACCAGCAGTGCACCATCCGCTAATTACAGTGGTGAAAATCACAACATTTGGACGATTACCAGATTTAATTAGGTCATTCAGGACCTCTTCTGCTTTTTCTGGTTCCAATGCACGGACATAACCCTTGGCCAAAATGCTATACGCATGGACATCAGGTGGAATGCCAGCATTGACCATGTCATCAAAGACCTCCCTGCACTTAACCATATATCCAGCAGCGCCCCAGGCGTTCATGATGGTGCTGAAAGTAATGACATCAGGTTTGGAACCAAACTCTTCCATTAATGTAAGAACCTGATCAAATGGATGGAGTAAAACCTCTTACTAGATATCATGCTAAGTAAAATATTTGGCAAAATTGGCAAGCATGTGGAGAGTAATTAATAAGCTGCAAAAGTTCTACAATTCTAGAGAACTGCAAGCATTCAACCTGCAAACGCAGTAGGACTGGAACTTAAGAAGGAAAAAGCTAGTTAATGAATGACAGAGGCAAACTTAAAATAT